AGAGAGAGAGAGAGAGAGAGAGAGAGAGAGAGAGAGAGAGAGAGAGAGAGAGAGAGAGAGAGATGAGCGATCCAAGATAGGTGGTCACTTACCTGTAAGGCGAGATTGCGGAGTCCAGTGGAGAAGGAAGACAGCGGCCATAGCCGCGGAGCTGTAACACAGAGTACCGGAGGAGAGAGAAAGGGAGGACAGAGAAGGAGGGACTGAGGAGAGAGAAGAAGAAGTGTGGAAGGAGGAGATCAAAGAAGAAGACAGACATAGCCGGGGGTGTGTATAAAAAAAAAAAGAAAAAAAAAATACAGCGAAAGTGAAGAGAAAGAAAGTGAAGGAAGGGGGAAGTAGATGGCGAGGGTGACGAAGGTGAAGGTGCCGGCAGCCATAGCCGAGGTGAGGGGTTGACCGAGGGTTGACCAGAGGGTTGACCAGGCGTTGACCAGGGGTGTTGACCAAGCGTTGACCGGGGTTGACCGCATTGACTCGGCGTTGACCAAGGCGTTGACCGGAGCTGCTGCCCAAGATTTTGACCAAGCTGGAGTTGGTGATATCTCGTTGACCCTGCAGCCTAGCCCCTTACCCTGTGGATGTGCACTTACCCCACGGTACTTGCTGAGTCGTCTGTCTACTCTTTTTGCATTGAGTCTCTTCTGTCTTAGGTGCTAGGACTCTGTGGATGAAGGATAGGGCGTTGCTGCCAAACCTGCACCGGCTTAGTAGGACCAAAGCTCAACTTTGGCACTTGGAGACCTGGGCATGAGCGGCGAGCGCTCGTTAAACAACTCGTCTAGCCCAATGACCAGTACTGTCCGGCAGGTCTACTGAGTTCAGTGTAGAGGGTCTGAACTCCGAGCTGTAGGCTGAAACGAAGGCCGTCTTTAAAACTTGAGGCCTGGTTGAGCCACTCCCCTACCGGACCCAGAAGGCTGATGATCCGTGTCTGACGACTCAACTGACCCGAGGGACACACCCCTCCAAGGACCGGTACTGACCGGCGGCTGCTCGGTGTGGCACAGGAGGCTGGACGGGCTGAGTTGTGGGCTGAAATCGCCAGAGGAGCCAACCTGATTGCGTCGTCCTGTTGCGACGTTAAAGAATTCCTGCGGAGTTTGGGGGATCTCCTTAAATGCCTCCTGATCAGCTGTTGGTTCTGTAGTGACAGCCTTAGAGTAGTTGTGAGTAGTGGATCTTAGAGAGTCAGTTAGTAGGTCAGTGTGTCCGGGTAGGTCTAAGTGGTAAGGAGTGGGACATTGTCGTGCACCTGACGCCACAATGGACGGCTATCCGATGTATGGGTTGCTGGTTGGGTTCTCTCTCTGGGGGACCCTCTGGCGTCTCCTCTTTCCTTTGGGCTTCTGGCCCACCTTTGCGTGTAGAGTACGGCCCACTCGTGGTGGTACTTCCACCCAGACATACACGAAGGAGGAGGAGGAGAAGATGGCCGCCATCCTGCAGGAGAGAAAAGAAAAGAAAGAGGCAAAGAAGAAGGCCCTACAGGAGGAGCAGGCGGCCAAGTTGAAAAAGATTGAGGAAGAGATGGTCAAAGAGAAGGAGAGAATCAAGAAAGACGAAGAGAAGAAATTGAAGGAGGTGGATGAAGAAGAGGAAGGCCCGCCGCTGCAAAAGAGTAGTGGGCAGCACAGTGGCAGCAACGGTGGGAACCTGGAGAAGAGGATATCTGAATGGGTTGCCAATCTGTTTGTGGGGGAAGAGGAAGAAGTTAATATGTACATCCCGCAGGATCAGCAAGAGGCTGCCATGAGGGCTTGGGATGCAGAGAACGATCCCCTCAGACGACAGGCGTTGGAAGACGAGAAGAGGATGGAGTGGAAATTAGCAGTGATAAGGGAGAAGAAGAGGAGAGTTGACAAGGCAGCGGAGGCGGCAGCAGAACTAGAAGAATTAAAAAAGGTAGAAGAGCAAGTAACCGCCCAGACTGAACTCCCAGCTCAAATGCGAGTCATAGCCCGAAGCGTCGCACGCCTGGCACGGATTCAGGCGGACCAATACGACTTCACTAGAAGTCAGGATATAGTTGTGCGCTCGATACGATTGGGCTTTCGGGACTTTGCCCGTGAGTTGGTAGGCATTGTTGGGGCCGAGGTGGGCCATCGCCTCGACAAGACCGAACAATTTTGCGCTGGCGCCATTGAAGGCGTCAAGGCGGCAGCTCCCAAGGAGGAGGAAGCACGTCCTCCTCGCGGAGAGCCGGTCAAGGTCAAGTTCCCTGATTCCTACAGTGGGAAAAGGGAAGAGAACTTTGACAACTGGGAGGCCAATGTTAAGACCTATGTGCATCTGCAACAGGTCTTTCCGGATCAGCAGGTTCTGATCGCGATCCACGCGCTCAAAGACGAGGCCGCCAGCTTTGCAAGGTCCCTAGTGCGCGCTGCCAATTGCAACAACGATCCGGTTGCATATTCGTCGTTTACTCCCGTCACTGATTTTATGAAGTTGCTGCGCGAGCGATTTGCAGATGTCGCTCGCAGTGTCAAGGCTTCAGACAAGCTCCAGACCATCCATTCTTGTAAGTGGAAGAGTGCTAGGGCACTCAAGGGTACCACGGATGAGTTGGTAGCCGTCCCTGACCACGGGGTCACAGAGGGCCAATTGGTCAACCTCTTCTACCGGGCTATGCCCGAAGCCTTCCGAGGGCAGGTCTTCGCGAAGAGCGAAGACCCTACCACCACTTCCGATTCCCTTAGTCCGTGTCCCTGTCTACCTTCTGGCACAAGGACTTAGATAAGGGTAAGCAATGGAAAGGCCGCACTATCTCTGGGCAGGTAAAGACCAAGGACAGCCTTGTCCTGACTTTAGACGAGGGTAGTGTGGATGAGATCCCCTACGATCAGATTGAGTGGGGGTTAGAGGAGGAGGACAGCGGTGTGGGCCAGGGGAGATCTTACGCTGCTGTCGCGGCTGGAGGGAGGCCGCAACGAGGACGAGGCCAAGGCCAAGGGGGCCGGGCCTCAGGGAGCCGGTTCCGGGGCGATCAGGGGGTTGGCGACAGAGGAGGAAACCGCCAAGCGGGAGGCAGGGGTCAAGGTCCCTCGCAAAACCGTCCTAGGAATAGGTCTCCCTATAGGGTAGGAGGATGGCACCCAGGGCTACCTCAGGGTAGGCCTTGGGAATCTTTGGGTCTGGACCAGGCTTTATAGCAACAACGATTGGACCCGGGCCAGTGCATTTTCTGCGGTGACCCGGGTCACATCATCAAATATTGTCCTAAGTATAGAGAGACCCGAACGGCTGCCCAAGAGCCAAAAGGAAGCCGCCGGTAGGGGTAGCAACTGCCCCTACCATTAGGCTATGTGAGGAACGTAGCGCTAGCCGGCAGGAGACTCCCACACCACATGTKCCTATGGCAGAGGTTGCAGGCCGGTGTCTAGATAGCTGCCCAGAGACCGCTTGTGTTAGGGTCTCTCTAGACACCTCCCTCACAGGCGTGGCCGAAGAGTTGAAGGAGAGGATGCCCGCCTGGGCCAAGATGAAGAAGGAGAATAAGGGGCAGCTAATTTTGCTAGATACAGAGATTTTTAGAAGTAGAGTAGGGGCCCTAGTAGACTCAGGGGCCACCCGCAGCTATATCAGTAAGAAAGCGCTGCAAAGTTGAAGCTGGGACTTAAAGTCCAAAAGCTAGCAGACCCTATAGTTAGTATCCTCGCAGATAATCGTACTATGATTGTAGAGGATTACGTAGAGGGAGTCCAGGCGAATTTCCGCCTAGAGAAAGATGGGAAAGTGGAAAAGATTCTCCACTCCCTGACTCTCCTCGTAGAAGACAGCCTCCCCTTTGATATTGTTCTGGGAATGGATTGGGGAGAGGCAGCCGGGGCCACGCTCCATTTGAAGGAGCACGAGTGTAGGCTCCCTTGTTCGTCAGGAGAGGCCAAGACTGCCCGTCTGTTCCATGTGTCAGGAGTAGAGAATTCCTTGGCACATTGCTGCCTTAGTGCCCCCGCGTTCGCCAGATTGGTGAAGAAGGAGAAGTTGGAGGAACAGGTTTTTGTTGCCTATGTTAGGCCAGTGACTGAGCCTACGGAAGAAAGGTCGATGGACCCTGCGATTGCCAAGCTGTTGGAAGAGTTTAAGGATTTGACTGAACCGGCGACAGGCACTGTGCCGCGGCCCATCCAGCATCGTATTGAGATAGAGCCTGGCAGTAGAACTCCTAAGGGCGCTGTGTATAGGATGTCCCCGAGGAAGTTAGAGGAGCTTCGCAAGCAATTAGACGAGCTCCTCGAGAAGGGTTGGATTAGGCCCAGTTCGTCTCCATTTGGAGCGCCTGTTCTCTTTGTCCCGAAGAAGGAGGGAGAGCTAAGGATGTGTATAGACTATAGGGGTCTGAATGCGATTACAGTGAAGAATGTTGAGCCATTGCCTAGGATAGACGATCTGTTAGATCGAGTGCAGGGGGCGAAGTACTTTTCTAAGATAGATTTGCAATCCGGATATCATCAGATAGAGGTGCATCCTGATGATCAGTATAAGACAGCCTTCCGGACTAGATATGGGCACTACGAGTTCATAGTGATGCCCTTTGGACTAACCAATGCGCCAGCTACGTTCCAGCGCTGTATGAACGATTTGTTTAGGCCGTGGTTAGATAGATTCGTTGTAGTTTATCTAGATGACATTCTAGTGTTTAGTAGGACCCTCGAAGAGCATCAGGGTCATCTTAGGCAGGTCTTGGAGAAGCTGAGGGAAGCTAACTTCAAGATCAATGCAAAGAAGTGCGATTGTGTGAAGACCCAAGCTTTGTATCTAGGCCACGTCTTAGACGGAGACAGCGTTAAACCAGAGGATAGTAAGATCGCAGTGATTAGAGATTGACCCACGCCACGTACGCTGACAGAGTTGCGCTCGTTCCTGGGCTTAGCGAATTACTACAGGAAGTTCGTGAGGAACTCCACCATCGTTGCGCCCCTTCGCAGATTGTTGAGAAAGGAGACAATCTGGAAGTGGGACAAGGACTGCACGTCTGCCATGAAGAAGCTAAAGCAGGCATTGATAGAGTATCCGGTCCTTAAGGTCGCCGACCTGTCCTTGCCTTTTGTTGTTACTACGGATGCTAGTCAGTACGGCATAGGCGCAGTGTTACAGCAAGACGATGGCAATGGCTATAGACCCGTAGAGTTCATGTCCGCCAGGATGCCTTCAGAGAAGGTCGCGACATCTACCTATGAATGGGAACTCTACGCTCTCAGGCAAGCCTTAGACCACTGGAAACACTACTTGCTTGGGAGGCACTTCAAAGTCTATTCTGACCATGAGACATTACGATGGTTAAAGACGCAGGCCAAGATGACACCTAAGCTTACTAGGTGGGCCGCAGAGATAGGTTAGTATAACTTCGAGCTCAAGCCTGTCAAAGGGAAGTACAACGTAGTCGCGGATGCTCTGAGTAGGAGAGCGGATTACTTTGGGGCGATAGTACATTACCTCGATATAGGGAAGGATCTGCAGCAGAAGGTTAGAGAAGCCTACGCGCAGGACCCTATCTATAGTGAGCTCCTCACGCGAGTCAAGGAGGCCCCAGAGACCGAGCCGAACTACCGCACGACTGAAGGGTTACTTTTCGAGAAGACTAATGTCTTTGACCGCCTGCGCATTCCCAATAGTGAAGAGATCCGTAGCCTGATTCTGGGAGAATGCCATGACACAGAGGGTCACTTTGGTTGGCAAAAGACTTTAGCCAATCTCATGCGCGCGTATACCTGGCCGGTGATGAAGAATGACTGCGTAGAGTATGTTCGCAGTTGCAAAGTCTGCCAGCGTAATAAGAGTTCTACGCGCGCCCCGCTAGGTCTTCTCAGACCCTTGCCCATTCCGGATCAGCCGGGAGACTCAGTGTCAATAGATTTCATGGACACTCAAGTCAAGAGCAGGCATGGCAAGAGCCAAGTCATGGTCATAGTTGACCGCTTTAGCAAGTACGCAGTTTTTGTTCCTTTGCCTTCACAGGCGCATACGGAGCTAGTCATACAGAGGTTCTTTGACTGTTGGGTTAGTGAGAACGGAATCCCGTTGTCAATAGTTAGCGATAGAGATAGTCGTTTCACCAGCCAAAACTCAACTCATGGGAGTTTATGGATCGAAGTTGTTGATGTCGTCTGGCCGCCATCCTGAGACTAACGGTCAGACGGAGCAAATGAACAAGATCCTACAGCAAGTTTTGCGCATGTATATTAGGCCAGATCAGATTAACTGGGATGAGATGTTGCCATATGATACCAAAATAGGAAATAAATATCTAATAAATCAAATTATTAATAAAATAGGAAAAAAATTTATATGTGTAGAATGTAGAGTAATTGATAAATTACTTAGAAAAAATAGAGTATTATAAATAAAGCAATACATCTTTATATTTATTTAGTTACATGGTACTTATTCTGATATTCAATTCAACTCTAATCTTTATCATATATTCATGAATATATCGTCACAAATAGAACTGCCCGGTAAACCGTAGGCAGAGAGAAAGAAGAGGACAACAAACGAGGGGTTGTGACAAACTGTTTCGTCGGAGTTTCACCGACTCATCAGGAGGCTGAACCCTCAACAGTCTACAGAATCCCCTCACTGATTACACTGTAAATGATAATCTACCTTAACCAAAATCAAAGTAGACTATCACTCACCCAGATCAGATGGAAAATTCTACAGACTGTCGGGGTACACCCCATCACAAGCCAGCAAAACATCCACGAAACAAAGAAAGGTCTGTCACAGCCAAAAAATACACTCCAGACACGCCGCTGGCACTAGAGGCACATCATAGCCGCCTAGTAACGCCCCCGACCACTGCTGCTCGACCTGACCGGAAAAAAACGTAGCAGGAAGCTAGCGAAGTCGTAGCATATATCGTCACAAACAGAACTGCCCGGTAAACCGTAGGCAGAGAGAAAGAAGAGGACAACAAACAAATATATGATAGAGATTAGCTAGTGCGTACAATAACAGCGTGCATCTAGCCACCTGCCGCACTCCCAACGAACTGCACAAGTCCTTTAGACCGCGCAGGCCGTTTGAGGGACTCAACCGGGATCAGATTCAGAGACCACCGCCTGGGACCAGGGAGTTTGATGTACATCACGAGAAGGAACTAGCTGCTGTCGTAGAAAACCTCAGGAAAGCCCAACATAGGATGATAGAGCAAGCGAACAAACATCGTCGCCCATCACAGTTTCAAGGAGGCGACTTAGTCTGAGTTAGTTCTAAAGAGTTTGCGCCTGAGGAGAACATCTCGCAGAAGTTACTGCCCACGTATAGAGGACCGTGGCCTGTTCTAGAAGTCAAGGGCGGCGAAGATGGACCGTCCTACACCATAGAATTACCAGCACACCTCCACACTTACCCAGTTTTCCACGCATCGAAGTTACTCCCTTGTCAAACAAGTGATCAGTTTCCATCCCGTAGATCGATGATCCCACCGGATATGGATGGAAGATATGACATAGATGGTATAGTAGCTGAAGATGTCTTTAGAACTGGAGGTAGGGGTCGTCCACGGAAACAATACAAGGTCCATTTTAGTTACCAAGAACCGGAAGACGACCACTGGTTTACGAGATCTGAACTTCTAGAGACAGCTCCCGATATAGTCCGGGCCTACGAGAGACAGCAAAAGGGTAAAGGTCCTGCCTTGGACTGAAATTTTCTCGGAGGACCTCGAATTTAGGCCGGCGGGAGTGAAACGGTATTCACCAGTTCGCAGTAGCGAATGCAGATCCCAGGGCTCGATCCCTAGTTCCCCATCTTACCTGTGTACAGTATTGATGTCAACCCGTAGACTTGAACCCACGACCTGTAGGACCGCCAGTGGTAGGCACGGTTTCGTAGGTCACAGGGTAGAAGGGAATCGAACTGTAGACCTGTAGAGTAGAGGTCTAGACAGTTTCGAAGTCGTAGCTGTAGGATGCCTGAAGAGTCAAGGTCRTAGCTGCTACTTACCTGAAAGGGCAAAGTCGTAGCTGCTACAGAACCGAAAGGCCAAGTTCGAGACTTCTAGAAGTGGCCTTTCGGAGTTGGCCCGTGATCAGCAGAGGCAAGTGGTCAAGTGGTGGTAGTCCACCTAGCCCAGTGAGAAGTCCCAGTTAGTCAGTCCGGTCCTGTCCAGCAAGTACCGTCTGGGACTGGGTGCACAACGTGGGCCAAGGGATACAGGGCAGACCAACGCAGCGTAGAAGTATAAATCAAGAGGCTGCGTCCAGCCATTCATTCATTCCTGCGGATGCCATGCGGAAGCGCTGCCTCAGCAGCTTGTGCGAGGAGGTTTGCWGTGCGCCCGAAGAAGAAGTGGGCAGAGAAGTGTAGTATAGCGATAGGGTAGTGGCAGCTAGCGCTGCCATAGCTGTAGCAGAGTGTGTGTGTGTGTTGTGTATGGATACTGAGTGTGGCGTGTGGGACATCCAGGGTGATCCAGAGTGCGAACAGTGAGTTGTGTGGGCACTCAGTCGCCATAGCCAGTTGGAAGAGAACTCTTATCTGGTCACGATATCTTTGAGTACTGTGTGGGCGCATGTCGCCAGTTGGCTGTATCGCTGTTTGCATGCATGACAAGTGTGAAGAAGTTGAGTCTGATTGCACAATCAGCAACGGGCCTTGCCCCGCCACTCTCCAAATAGGCAAAATGAGAACAGATCTTCCACAGGAACATGGAAAGATACACCTTGTCACTCCACTACTCACGACATGCACACGACAAAAAATATGGCTGTAAGGACCTGCCCAGAGCACGGACTGAGAACACAGCTGCTTTCTGAGTTTTGCAGCTAGAATGAATGCCTTGCTGTGATCTCCGCTTTCTGCTAAGTTTTCTAAATCTGTGTGTGTGCTTGCTTGCTGATCTGCATGCCTGTCTGAGTGCGTGTCGGCGTGAGTGCGTGTGTGACCCGCAAGGACACTTGTTTGTTTAGTAGGTCCCGGAGGGCCGGTACTTACCTGTGGTCGTGACTTTGAGGGTTGCAGTGGGGACAACACTCAAGTGGCGGGAGTAGGCCCATGACCTGAGTAACATGTTCAACGTGGGCCGAGGAACATGACCTGAAAGCCGTTTAGTTTCCCCACACCCCCGTCGAATCCCCGTTGAATCAAAAACTGGGGCCCTCTCGCCGTTTCTTTTTTCAACGGACAAGGTCCACAGGGGCTTGGGCCTGTGTGTGTGTGTGTGTGTGTGTGTGTGTGTGTGTGTGTGTGTGTGTGTGTGTGTGTGTGTGTGTGTTTTAGATTTTCCCCACAACAGCCCCAATTCCACCCAGGTGAATAGATTCAGAATCAAAGCAGTCTTTGTCCTATTGCAGACAACGAGAGCATTTGGGATGTCCAACATATTAAAGCAATTTTATAATTAGACAGTTTTTTGTTTGTCCTTGGGGTACGCCTTTCATTGTTCTTAGCTCCCCTTTTACTGTGCCTCTTATGCACAAGGCTGCCCACGTTGACTGTGGTTGAGTGGCAGCTGCCCACATCCCCGTGTGCCTTCACGGCCCACTTGCACGTTATTTCAGGAGGCAGCATAAAAGGGAAGGTATGCTCGTGTGCATCTCTTCAGAGCTTCATACTCCTGTTCATTTCACTTCAGATCTTCAGCTTATACAGTCTTTGTGTCCGTCCTTCATCTTCATACTTCCGTTCATTTCATTTCTGATCTTCATATCGTCTATTTTCTTAATGATGCTCATACGTTGTGTGTGTGTGTGTGTGTGTGTGTGTGTGTGTGTGTGTGTGTGTGTGTGTGTGTGTTGTGTGTGTCTGTGTCTGTGTGTTTGTGCCAGGGGGGGGGAGGCAGACCCCCCCAGCGCGAACCCCCTGTGTCTGTGTTGCGCGTGTGTCTGTGCGTGTGTATGTGTGTTGTCATATTCGCTATACACTTAAAAAAAGCATGACTGTGCCAGACTGCTTCGTCGGGCTTTCACCGACTCATCAGGTGTGTATGTGTCTATCTGTGTGTGATACATGGCAATATGGGCAATGTAGGTTCAGCCAAGGATCTGCAATGTGATGAAAAGGGCTGAATGGACAATGCAATGTTAGTGAAACATTAACAGGCAATGTACACCCTGATACACACAAAATGGCACATAATAGTGCGGCGGAAGACTTTGAGATAAGTCCTGACCTGACCGGGACTGACATGACATCCCATCATACATCACACATGTGAGGGGAAGAGGAGGGACCACACACAAGGAGAAAGGTCCCTCATACCTACCGCACATGGAGAGATACCACGGATGTGAGATGGAGGGAGAGGAGAGACGAAGGTGGAGGCGAGGGAGAAGACCAACATCTCAATGGCGACGTCCAACATAGTCCCTTCCCGATGTCCGATCGATGTCTACCTCAGAAATGTCGAATCAGATCCTCGGCAATGTGCCCACCGTAACCTCTGCCTGCATCCTCTGCTAGTAACCTCTCTCACTCTCGTATCTGAAGAAGAAGATGAGGAAGGAGGAAGGAGGAAGGAGGAAGAGAGAGAGAAGAGATGGAGGACGAGGAGGAAGAAGAAGATGCTGTCCTCCTCGCTGTCTTACCTACCGGTAACTGCCGTACTAACTGTGGTTTGCCCTGTGCAGTACCGCGCAGAGCCCTAGCTATGGCGCCAGGTAAGCTCGT